CGTTGCACTTTTACTTTGTATATTCGTAATCAACATTCGAGACTCTATCGATGCACCTAGGTCTCCATTCAAAGTTCCATGAGAAGTTGAAACCATTCCCTTGTCAGTCTCAGCTGTGAGTGGTAGGAGTCATGGGTAGTGGTGCTAAAATGTGGAACAGAAGTTGCCGAGGAACTGTTGTGCTGCCGTGAAGTTTGCTACTGCTTGGAATAATGAGTTTTTATATTTCCATGCAGTCGCCTGATTATTCCCTTATTTTCAACCACTGGAGGCTTATTTCAGGGGCAGGCTCGTACGTTTCCTTCTTGAGACTGTTAATAAGGGCCTTATTCTATGCGCTTTTGTCCCGTTTCAATTCAGTGCCTCTGTTCCCGTTTTTTGAAGAGAACAAGTTATGCCCAGTCCCTTGAGTCTGCCTCGAACGCTGACTAGCGAGGTCAGAAACAGAAATGTATATGGTGAAGGAAAAAGGATTGGAAACCATTGAAAGTGCTTTTAATAGGCCCTACTGGTGCCAAGGAGATACAATTGATGCGGATATCGGGCGAGTGGCCAGCGAAAGAGGCAGAGTATGCAAATGAGCAAGTCAGCAGATCAGACATATATCTGCTAACTCGCTCATTTGGGAGGTGGGAGGGCCGCGAGAGGGGAATCATTGAGAACCTTGTGCTTTCCACCGCCGCTTACCTTACCGCTTTTTCAGCGTGAAACTTATGCAGGGTTATTCGTTGCTGTTCACACTACTCTCTGCACTATGAGCTTAGACACTTGTAGCTGCGATCGTGAGCTCTGCCTTGAAAACATTTCACACAATCTACAAAAAAGTTCAACAACGACTTGTCTCAATAGCTATAGCAGCGATCACTTTTGTTCTTGCAAATGTCTCGAAAGGATCCCCTCTCCAGATTCATCACTCACCCTCGCCACAACTATAACACTCGTATAACTTCGTATATGTCAGCGAGCTCACATCCTTCGACGTTTACTTCCCCTTGAGGCCCTTTTAGGGGAAAATGCGACTAATCACGAAGCAATACTAGCTCTCATCATGGCCTTAGCTGACGTCTGACTTTACCGAAATAGTGACTATTTCGGAACTGACTACCGACATTCTCAGCTGGAAGCTCGTAATGTCACAGAACTTTGGAAACTTGTAAAAGGTATGAATATGCAAGCTTTGCGTTCCGTGCAAGAGCGCCGTGAAAAGCGGCAGCAGGAAGCATGGGAACCGCCTCGCAATGATTCCGTTATGCTAACACACCAGACCACTTGATCTGTGCTCACCTCATTAATAGTCCTCGTGGAATCCACCGTACAAATGACAGGAAAATCTTTTAATCTACTCTAGCGGCGGCTAAAGAACACCCCTTTGAACGCGTTCCATAGAATCACGCTGTGGTGAGCAGACCACAGACCTTGTTCTCTAACATATAATGGGACGATGTCGTGAATAATTCGAAGTGAACTATGGTTACCGTTTTGCTGTATAAAGGCTTTGAACTGCCGAGTCTTTGTTAACTAGTGCTTCCCCTGAAATGATAACGCCATGTTTTTGGAGTCCTACTTACATGATGTTACTGCAATTCTATATCCTATTGCCGCAGTGAGAAGAAGTTGTTTTTATGTTTGTTGACGGTCTTATTAGCTTAAAAGCCCAGAGCTTCTCTCTTAATATCAACGTTAGAAATCTGCCCTGACAGGCTATTGGAATGCATTGGCAACTGCTGGATGTGGTTCCCTCAATTCCACGTCGTGGCAGGATTCGCTGCTCTTGTTAAATGTTGCCAATTCCTCCCATACAGTATATCTTATGATGTTACCTTATTTTTGCTCATGCCTGAGGAAGTTAAAAAAACAATTTTCAGTCATGATCAAATTATATTTGTACGGTATGTTGCTAGGCGCTATTATTCTAGCAATACTTCACAGTGGCGAATGCTTGTCTGCCCAAGCAAAGGATTCCCTCAAAAAGGTATGTGTTCAAAATGGATAGTTGCCAACTGGCTGTTGATGGATTCTATACGTTGGTGTCAGAGATAAGATGTAACTTTTGGTAGGTAACAAATACTGAAAGATGTCTTTTTTCTCGAACGTTACAGCTATTCTCAGAAGTTTGCTAAAATCGCTTGTGCAAACCAGGGGAATCAATCCAGAAGGAAGGGCTGCCGTTAGCCATCAAGGCATTCTGAATTTGTGGGCACGCCTATTGTTGAGCGATAGACTAGTGCGAATTTAGGCACCCGCTTTCGAAGGTTCTTCCTTTGATAAATCCCCTCCCCCATTTATTGCTCCATCAGCTTCCCCAGTCCTCTACTACTTTCCGAGTTGTTCCCTTCAAAAAATCCGCCACTTTTCCATCTCATAAAACAGCGTCGCGTGCGGAATATGAACGCCCTTGAATCACGATGAGCTGAGAAAATCCAACAATCAAAAACATTCCTTTGAAAAGCAGTCCCCCCACACCGCTCCTCCCACTACCACAGCTGGACACCTCCAACGTACAAAGTGCCTCTTGGTTTAAGGCAGTGGACACGATAAATCTGTTATACAGTGTAGGAGTTATAGCAACTGGGCTTTAAGCAGAATTTCCAGTCTTCGGACAGGCGCTGCGTGAAGCCTTTTCCAAGGAGGGTACCTCTATAACGCCCTATTGAGCAACAACTTTACGTCCCAAACGCCTTCCTTGCCCGCCCGCCCACAAACGGACGACCGTTTCTGACGCTCGTATTCATTCATTTGCTGAGCAAATTATGAAGCAAAGGGATTGGTATGAAGCGGCGGTGATGCTGCATGCATAGTACGCGGTACACATAGCCAGCCGTACCGTCGGTAGCGGTGGATGGCCAAGATGCGTACGGGAAACTCGTCCGAAATCGATTTACAAGTCACTGAGAACGGAGGCTTTTTCTTCGCCGGATTTTGACCGTTTCACTCCGTTCTTTCGCCATTTCCCCACTATACAGCGCCCTACTAGCATTTTAGGCTAAGAAACCATCGTCCCCTGCAACTGCCTAATTTTTCATTTTTTTATATTGCTTTCACCCGTCGTGGCCAAGTAGAGAGTTACTGACTTGGAATGTCGCTGTTAGGGAATCACCTATAGTTTCATTCTAGTCTGCTTACCCTCAAGAATTCCTCTTGCTCATTTTCCATAGATTCGGAACTAAGAGCACCTTACTTCCGAGGGTGCTCTCGAGAAAAGGGGTTGAGCGTTCAAATGACGGCAGAAGCTACAGAGTTTGCAATCTGGAATATCGCTGTCAGACAATTACTTATAGTACTATTCTGATTCGAGGCACTCCCTGATGTTGATCTGGAGGAACGCCGGGCGGAGGCCTAAAAACGTCTTGGCACATTGCTACTTGAAGAAGTACAATATAACATCACAAAAGCAACCAACGTCGCAAAACGGCCAAACAGACATTGGTGGAGAAACAGGCGGAGAAGCGATGGCGGGAGCAGAGGTAAGTAGTTAGCTATTTTATGATTTCAAACTTGTCTACGATGATTCTTTCCTCTCTCCCCTCTCAGTTGTAGCCCGTTATTGACCCTATCCATCCGTCACCGCCACAGGTAACTGAAGCCGTAAATTTCGATTGAAATTCCCTCACCCTATTCGCCTTTCGCTAATCGCTTGATGCAGACACATCTCAGCAAAGCGAAACGATGTTTTACTCCTCTCTCCCCCCCCCCCCCCCCCCCCAGCTTATCACACCGTTGATCGTGGCCTTGACCCCTCTTCGTTTTCTTCAATTGAGGAATCCAGGACTAAGCGAAACATATTTAAACTCTTAGCATAATTAATGTTGGAACAGAACTGGAGGGATGGGCCGTCCCGATTCTAAAGGCATAGTCCTAGGAGTGTGGGTAGGGGTGTGGGAGTCGCATAGAGACTCGTCTTTGAATCTCTGATGCCAAAAAGAACATCGTGAAGCCTGTACTAAGACCTTTCCGCCTCAAACAGGCCATCTGCTGGGATGAGACCCATCGATTGCATTCCTGAAGCGAGCCTATGCGCCACACAAGAAACCTCGATAAGGAAGCCTGTAATCCGGAACCATTTATCCCATCGAAGGCTCGCTTTTCAGCTGGAGCGGTAGACATTGAGGCGATGTCAGGAGGCCGAGAACACTGGAAACAGGTGCGCTCGCCACTGTGGAGCCATTTTACTACCTTCAACTTCTATACTCTAAAACTACGTTCCAAACATTCCGCCGCGAATACTGGCGCACTGCTTTGCCAGCGATTCTTCCCACTTAGTCCTTTCCATTTCTTTCTCAGTTCATCGAAAACAGTTCTTTTGGAACCGCTTGCTTCCTCTCCTCTTTTCTTACCACATAGTTCCGTCCTTTCAAGAGTGTACCGTTCGACGAAGTGAGCAACATCACGGAGCCCACCCTTGAAGAAATCAACCAGGATGAAGGCGTTGCTGACTACTTATTCAACGGGGACATCAACCTTACTGAGTATGTAGGCAAGAAGTATTTCGTCACGAATTTTTTCAGCAAATGGAGCGCCATTTCAGAAAACAACTAGAAATGATCGAGCGCAGTTTGACTGAAAGCAACATGACCCGCCACAAACGTCAAATGGATTCTGTCAATCCACGATGGCCGAACAACCAGCTGTTTTATGAGTTTCATAGTAGCACAAGTATGAGAGCCTTACGATCTTTCAACCTTGAACTTGAACGGCACAGTCCACTCTGATAGCTTCGGAAAGGGTTGCCAATGAACAGATCCTCTCTGCACCCCCTTACTTACGACAAAAAGACACCGCTATAAGCATTTCGGCTGACTGTCTCTGCCCCTTGCTATCAGCGTGGACGATGGCGCCCAGCTTTACATTAAAGTCATTTTTTCAGATACCAGATTTCGAAATATCGTGAAACAGGCTCTGAACTACATAAGCGGTCGTACGTGTATCACATTTACCCAGAGCGCTTCCGCACCCAACCGCGTGCAGGTGTTCAGCGGTAGTGGTTGTTGGTCTTCAGTCGGAATATGGTTGGAGGTTGTGCACGCAGACTTCCTGGCCAGAAGGCTTGGGTGATCAGGTAAGGAGATTATCTCAGAACGATACTTAACCAGGCTCTTTCAGAAGCTCACCGCACCATTTTTTGAACGAAGAGACTTTCTCCGTTTAGAAGATGGCAGTTTTTCAGCTGAAGAAATAAACTTTCACCACTCATAGCAAACTAGTTGGGCGACGGGAGGGGCATTTTCGTTTTGAGATGTTCTCGTCGCAGTTGCGCGCCAACGCGAGCGCGCTTTGACGAGATATGTGACAGCGTTATAATGGCTGCGCTAACGCGGCTTAGCTCCAGCCTACGAAGTTCACAGTTTCACCGAGACATGACGTCTTGTAACCGAAACTACTGAAGCGAAAGTGCAAAATGCCCCCCGCGTCGCCGAACAGCGCCAGAAGCTACAATCCATTTCGAGGAAATGGAGAGTGCGTAGCCTAATATTAGATTTTTACATGGTTGCCGATGGTCGTATAGGATATTTCGCGATTGCCGTTATTCTCTTTTGATTGTGGTGAAGACGTCAGTTGTCCAGAAGCTTGCAGAAGCCCACTAAACGACGCGGGCCCATTTGTGATTGAGAATATTGAGGCCATTTCCTCAATCCCTGGGCTAGTGTAGCCGCCAGAAGACTTGTAATCACATTTTAGTATATGACCATTTCCGCTATTCGATGTGTCATACGACACGCTACACGCTATACGGTCACGTAGTGCACGCCGCACGGCACAAGGGCAACGGTTAGGCTTCCACCAGAGGTCGACCTGCCGCCGCGACGGCGGCAGGTTTCTGCTAAGTGCGTGGCGTTGCATAGTCCATGAGATTTCCAACAGTCTGCTTTATTAATTGCAGGTGTGAAAACTATGAAAGGAGTAGGCCCGATGTTCAACTATTAGTATAAAACAAGGTCCATTCACATAGAAATAATATTTAGAGAATACATCAGCAATCTACAAAAATTCACTTTAGGGTGAATCCTTCTTTTGCCCTCAATTGTAAGGTATTGTAAGGGCCTAAGATTTGCGGCCAGACGGGAAAAGTAGGTCGTATTAAAGAAATACAGCAATCCGTTGAATAAATACAGCTGCCATTCAAAAATATTGACGTCCCATTGAATATTCTGGTTTGGCAAAATGCCAAGCAGATTTGCGTGATGCCAGAACTATGTGAAGGGACCGGGATCTTAATCGCACGACTGTATGGGTCTCGTCCAATCAGGCAGCAATCGCCGCGCGCGGCGAGGCGAAACATGGCAGCCGTGACCTCTCGTGGAGTCCTAACCTACACCCTTACAGGCTACTGTGCAAAGCGTCTTTGCCGCAATACTCCATTCCAGGTTGGCATCGCTGCGCACGAGTTCATGCATGCTCTGGGATCGTGGCACATGCATATGCGTGGCGACAGAGACGACTTCATCATCGTTGATCTGACTAACGTGCCGGTGAGTTCAGTACTACAGTATCTTTTTTACTGAAAGACCTTAGAAGAGTCACGGCAGTGCCAACCTATGAATACTCTACGGTTACGATGCCAAGGCTCACCGGGAGTCGAAGGTGGCGAGTTGCAATTTATTTTTAGCTGCGTGATCGGGAAAGCCCACACCAGTGTCCGGTTGGCAACCCAACTCTAGCTGGCTGAAAAAAAAACCCCTCAAGAGGGAACGTAGGTCAGTCTGTCTGGCAGATGCCATCCACCGACATTCGCTGATCGCTGATAGTCGTTTCCCATGTTGTGAAGTGAACGTAGCCTTTCTCAGCTGGTAGGCACCCAAGCCGCTCCATCAGTAGTACCTCCTAGGGATCCAGAGGAATCGAAGAAAAACTACAGCAATGACTTTCGCTGAGTAGATTCGTCCTAAAACAGCACGGTGCAAGGAACCGGAGAGTAACAGGAGAAAT